ACAAACACACACACACACACACACACACACACACACACACACACACACACACACCAAATAAGACAAAAAATATTGTTCAATCTGAGCAAAACTGTAATCTTTATGAGTCCTTTAATAAACATTAATGGGCAGGAGGGATGGTTCAGTGGTTAAGAGCACTGGCTGCTCTTCCAGAGGACCTGGGTTCAATTCCCAGCACCCTCATGGCAGCTCACAGCTGTCTGTTACTCCAGTCAGGAGATCTGATACCCTTACACTGGTGCACATAAAATACAGATAATTTTTTTTAAGCATTAACAGCTAGGTGGTGGTAGCACACGCCTTTAATCCCAGTATTCAGGAGACAGAGACAGGAGGATCTCTGCGAGTTCAAGGCCAATGTGGTCTACAGAGTGAGTGACAGAATAGGCTCCAAAATTACAGAGAAACCCTGTCTCGAAAAACCAAAGGAAAAAAAAAAAGAAAAAGAAAAAGAAAAAGAAAACATTAACAAATCACAAAATTTTATTAAATCCATGTTTCCTGATATTTTTCACATGTATTAGAGCAAGCATGTTAATCAAGCAAGAGTAGTTTTAAAAACTTTGTCTCTAAAATACAATACTCTCTAGGCTTTTAAGTTTAATTTAAAAAAAAAAAAGCTAAAATTTCATCAATTAAAATTCCTTTTTTGCTGCCATTCCATTAAGTTAACACATACCAAGATATGGAAGACATTTGCAATGCTGTCTAGATATACTTTCCTCTTTTCCTCTGTAGTGCAGGGGACTAAATGCAGAGGCACACTGGCTGTCGCCCCCTACTGTGTTCATTCCCAGACCCCCAATATATCTCTCAGTGGATTCAAGGGAGAAAATGAAGTAGAATGAACTTGATCAAGGCAGTTTCTCCTTATCCCCCAAAAATGAAAGTTAAATGAAAGCCAATATAGACAACTTGTCAGCATATAGTTGTTTCTAGAATCCAGGATCCAAAATTGGGCTCACAAAAGTAGCTGGGCAGATACCCAAAGCTGAGGGATGTGAGAGATAATACTAGTGGAACAAGAATTGAAAACCTTGGGCAAATGCCAGGCAGATGGAAAAAGGTGACGTCAAACACCTAAAAAATATCACCTGCAGTAAGAAAGGCACATAAGGAATCCAGAAGGCTCAAAAGGGGGAGCCAGCTAGGTTGAATGTCAATGACAAAAGCAAGCAGTCACTAAGTAACAGGCTAGGGCGGACTCTGATACCTGTGTGCTTTTTTTTTTTTTTTTTTTTTCCCCTAGGAGGTTTTGTTTTACTGACTGGTAGAGGTGTTGAGGTGTTGAGGTGTTAGGTGTTGCGGGTCAGATGTTAATTATTATGAAAAGAGAAATCAAAAACCGGAAGAATAGTCTCAGCCCTTAGTCAACCCAGGGCACACAAGAGAATTAGCTGCCTGACACTGGTTGAGGCAAAAACCTGAATTTGATCATGGATCATGAAATAGATCTCTGAGGAAGTCTTGATAGCCTAGCTGTGTTATAAAAGAGAATGAGAATACTGTTCCAATTCTTGGTGAGGCGAGCAGCCAACTTCTTACTGAGTTCAATCAGCAAGCGAAGCTTAGAAACAACACAACATACTCCCTGAGCTTTGCTCAGAACTTCTAAAAAGCCAGGAAGTGTAGGCCTCCTACTCATCCTTCTCACATCTAAGCCCCTGCGCTCCCCTATGCGGGCCCCCAGAAATGGACATGACCTAAATCCATCAGCTACTTTGTTCTGGGACATTCCTTTCCTCTCTTACTCTACAGAAAGCTACTGATCCAAAGAAATCTGCTTTGAAATCCAAATGCAACTTCCTTTCCACATTTCTCCCTGCTAGCCCTTCAAAAGCGACTGCTTGGCTTTGCAGTGAAAGGAACAAGGGGGAAGTCCCCTTTTGCATCTGCCCCATCCTTTCATCTATATGAGTCTCATACCCTCCCAGACCACATGAGTTCCCACACTCCCTTCTGTCCCCACTGACAGATCCAGATAACTCTCAATCACCTCCGCCAGCATCTCCCCCCTCACCTCACCCTGACCCCCGATAAACATTGTTTTCCAGTGATAAAACAAATAGAGGACAAGAAACAAAATAAGAATAGAAACTTGTTTCAGATAGTCATATGCTTACTCATGCACTAGGTCTCAAAGTAGAGATGCACTTTCTGATATCCTAGCCCCAAAAGGTTGGAACACTGCTTCAGACAGGACTATGACATTGGTCCCATTGTTCAACAACTCTCTCCCATGTGGTTGAAGCTCTGAGCAGATGTGCAGCTGCTATCTCCCTCGGGGACTATTTTCAAGAATACTGGCCTCTTATGCTGCTTTACAAGCTCCGTGCATAGCCACAGGATTACCTCTTCCTAAATACACCCATGTTTTCTGAACAAAGAAACCCCTTTTCTATTTCTGCTTTATCCTAACTTCTCCCGTCTAGGATCATCCACTGGCTGCACATCCAAGGCCTTCCTTCCAAGGAACAACCAGCCTCAGAACAGCAGGGTTCAGTTTCTCAGTGGGCCACCTTTCAACCTGAAAAGAAAATCCCCGCCAAACTACCTCAGGCTTCCTTACAAAATTACCTTCTTTCCTGACATCATGTGTTCATACAAAGTGTCATGGTCAGTGTCAGGTGAAAATAGCTGTCCCTGCCACCCAGTGCAAGTGTGTTTGCCATCCCAAGGACACATGGTTAATCTACCTCCACACTGCTCTGTTTCCCCTCCCAGGGCAGGTGAACTGTACTCGGTGGGACACCTTCCTTCCTCAAGGACAATGGCACCAACTATCTGACATAACACTCGTAACTTAACCCTCCAGGCTGCCCTCCCTTGTACGTATGCCCACTATTCTAACTAGTCCGTTCTTCCTCAGGAGAATAACTACCGTTTTCTAACCCTTCCAAGCAATACTAAAACTCAAATGAATCTTTAATCTGTAAGACAGAGAACACTAACTTGGAAGCTGGTGGAGGGAGACTTGAGGTCTGAAGGGTTTCCTATGAACTAAACCATGATGTCCTCTAGTAAATGCAGGGCTTTGAGAAGAATGCAGACATGCCAGGTCTCCCTGAGAGCACCAAGGTCTGATGACTATAACACAGCTGCCCTTGATGCTGAGGGGCAATAAATACTCCAAGAGTGACAGATCAACCTCAAGCCTACCACACTCCCTCTTTGTACCCCAACCCCTCTCCTGCTTCCCTTCAGAAACCCAGGTTCCCCTGCTCCATTAGTCTTGTTAGCCCGGGACAGCACCATCCCTGCCCACAGAGGTCCTTCTTCCTTCCCACTCCTGTGCAGGGAGTGCTCCTACCTGACTGAACACTCAATAGGACTTCTGAGAACACATCCTCCCAGGGTTGCTGGTGATAACCCAATGGAATCTCTCCAGTGGAGAATTCAGAAAACAACATAAGGACAGGCCAACTTCTGCATCTTTACTCTATTCAGAAAATCCTTAGCAAACCCGTCTTCTCTGGTGACTGATGGTCCAACCCTCTGACAGCTGTCATCCCTAGTCCCTTCCAAGTGACTACAGGACTTCAGTGGCAAGACCCATAATTCTTTTCCTCAAGTGATGAAGGCTTCTACTGGGAGGAACAGACACACAAAGCTAATAATAATGACTAAGCAACTGGGTCAAAGGCATTCAGCCCAGACAGATAAAACTCAAGCAAGATGACATAGTAAAGAGCCAAACACTGGACAGAGGCGGTGTGTGAAAGAGAAGGGGTTGCAGGGATTGGGGGGCGGGGGTGGGGGTGGAGAGGGTGGAGAAGCACCACCAAAGTAACTTCTCTGGATCACCATGTAGAGAAGAAGCTCTACATGCTAGCCTTTCAAGTTCAACATTATGGATACATATATCCAATTTAGTTTCATCCATACAACTTAAGGAAAATAAAAAAAAAAAAAAGATCTTTACCCTGATAGAGCACTTAAAAATGGCAAGTGGGATTCCTGAATTTATTGGCAGGAGCTACTTATAAAGTAAGGAGTGCTCCCTCCACCAGGCACATTTCACCTCAAAACATCCCCATCCAAGATCCTTTTTTCCAACTTCCTGACTATGTAAAGGTTTTACTAAATACAATGACAGACTTTTGCCTACTTTACACATTAAGTTCCACCTTCCACACAAACTCTTCCACACTGCCTCCAAACCGGCATCTCAATTAATTTAAACGGCAAAGATCGCTTTTTAATATTTTGCAACTTTATATACATGTCCCACTGACTTGCAAACGCAATTAAAAAAAAAAAATAAACCTACAGGCCAGCAAGTGACCCTTAAGTGAACTTGAACAACTCAAAACTACTCTCACACAGGTTTCCCTACCATCTTGGAGAGGTGGGAAAATAAATACTAGCATTAGAGATCCCATTTTCCTGACAGGGTAAAGGAAAACGCTTACTTTAATCAACTCGCCAGGGGATATAGTGGCTGGAAAGAGAAACCAATTCCCCCACTCCACTAGACTTCAGCCCTCAGGCTGGCTAAAATTGGGACCCACTTGAGAGCCACAAGGGTAAATAAAAGCTATTTGTTTCAGAAAGAGGCTGGGGAAGATGAGGGTGCCACTTGATGCGCCCCACTGGGAGCTGGTCTCTTGCAAGAAAGCGTCCCCTGCAGACCCAGAGGTTGCACCCACCCTCTTGGGGCTCAGACCCCTTGGGGCGCCGCTAGCCAAGCTGGAAAGCTGGGACCTGACCGAGCAGCCCGGAGAGAGCCGAGTGGATCTCGGGGCGACGCCGGGGCCGCGGGCCGAGGACACCATCTGCTCCAAGCCAAGGCAAGCGGCGCGGGGCCGGCGGCAGGAAGGATGCTGCGCCGCCGCACACCTGCGGGAGCCTCCCGCGCGCTCCCACCCGCCTCGGGCGCCCGAGCTCGGCCGCGTTAGGCCGGTGCGTCGCGGCGCTGTGAGCCAAAGCTGCGCTGGGCGAGGCCGCCCTCCTCCCGGATCCCGTCCAAACGGCGTCACCTGTGCCGGGTCCCGGGATGAGTCGCGCGGGCGGCGGCTGCGCGGGGCCGGGAGAGCACAGCGGGGCTCACAGGCGCCTGGTCATCCGGCCCGGCCCGAAGGCTGCGCCGGCCGGAGCCACGCGCGAGATGCTCGCGGGAGCCGGGGACGCCTGAAGGAGCAGTCGCCGAGGCTCGCGCCGCCGCTGCCGCCGCGCCCGCCCGGACTGCGGGCTCGGGTTACCGCAGAGCGGCTCCTTAAAGGGGCCGCGGCCGCTCGGACTCGCCTGGCGCTCTCCGCGGCTCCGACCCCAGGCCGGAGTGGGCGGGGCCCGGAGGCCGCGCGTGGGGCCCTCCTCCCCGCGCTGGAACTGCACTGTCGGCGGGGGGCTGCGAGGGGATCCGGAGAGCTCACCCTCGGCCCCGGGGACAGTGAGCGAGTGTGAGGTTCGCGGGCCACCCCAGCCAGTCACAGACCTCACAAGTGGGGAGAAGTATGTGAGTCCGCCCCCGCGGCGGTCAGCGCCTCGGCTCGCCACGGAACCAAAAACCTTTTCCAGTGCTGAATTCTGCTTTATATGCCCAAATGCTGGGCAAATGATCGGCATGGTTTGCTTATCGAGAAGGGGATGAAAGGGCAAATGCTGATTTTTTTTTTTTTTTTTTTTCCCTGCCACGTCTGACATGGCCAAAGTCGAGCCCCGCCCCGTTCTGGTTTGAGGGTGCAGGTGCGTGCCAAGCCGGGTAGGAGGCGTGTGTGTGTGTGTGTGTGTGTGTGTGTGTGTGTGTGTGTGTGTGTGTGTGTGTGTGTGTGTAAGAGGTGTGTTGTCTCTGAGCAGCCTCTTCCCAAACCACTGCAGAACACCCTTGAAGGACCGCAAGCAGTCTGGGAGTGTAGCTGCTGCCTAGCAAGCCCAAGGCCCTGGATTTGATTGCCTTGTAACAAAAAAAAAAAAAAAAAAAAAAAAAACGGATACAGTAGCAATCTACCTACTTCCAGGACCCCTCTGCGATTAGGGTGTTTAATTAAGTAGGACTGAACTTTTTTTTTTTTTTTTTTTTTTTTTACAGACTGAGTATCCCAAGTTGCCAAGTCCATAAACTGTGCTTGCTGTATCAATCAGACAGAAATGCCTGAAAAAAAAAAATCAAAATAATGAAGTACATGTAAGCTGTATTATTTGCCAAAATCGTCACAAGTCCTATTTTTAGAAAGAGGTAAATTCTAAATGAATTGAGTCATTTGGAAAGTCCACCACTAATGGCATAGGACCGTTGTTAGTGAGGAAGACCTACTAATAAAGCTTACATATTTGACCTAATATGTACGCACACAGCGATATGTCTACTGTCGAATTAGGACAGAAAATGCACACATAATCTCACACCACATCTGTATTTATATTCAACAGGAAAGTAATAGGACTGGAATCCTGTTTATTAGAACCTAGAATGCTTTTTAGCAGAGCTGTCTTCAGCCTCACCAAAGCTCGATTTCTTCATCTATATAAATGGAACAGCAACTTAGTTATTTCCGAAAGCCAGGTCTTGGCAGAACCGTAGAGAAAAACTCTATGGGCCACGGGTTCAGAAACGCAACCAGGAAGACCATGCAAGATCCCCCACGTTCTGCCCTAAGCTCTCAGAGCATGCAGGGACAGCAGTGCTGTGACCACACCTGTTTCATCATAGATACTTCACAACCTGCATAGCCCTTGACTGTTTTGCTTTGCTCCATAGCTGCTTCGTGTACTCATGTAGCTATCTCATAACTCCGTGGGCTTGTGATGGTTATATTACGTGCACATATCTGTCGGGTCAGTCCAGATAGGACAAATTTCACAGCGCTATCTGGGGACTCTGTCATCTGCAGGCACTCTCCTAGCTCATCATTGTTGGTTGTCAGTTGCTCTGCTGTCTCCTGATAACCGCACCATCGTTACCTTTGGCATCTATAATTCTCTAACAACAACAGTAATAACCAAGCAAGCCAAGCAAGCCTACAGGCATGCACTGTACTTGATGCCACACTATGGGCTGTCCTCTATGAGTGTATCACCAACTGCAAGAGCATGAGATTACACAGACACGGTGACTATATTGAGGACAAAGAATGAGATCTGCAAAGAGTTCAGAAAATACTATTTGAATCTCAAAACTTGTTTTCTTCCCCTATCCCCTGAGACAGAATCTCAGGTAGCCCAGGCTGGCATCTAATTCAAACAAGAGCCACTGTAATATACACTCAGCTTGAATGTTCAGACTTTTTAATGAATTGTTTAAAAGTCACTTTAGGGGGAAATATCAATTGTAGATCTACTGAAATGTGAAACTTGTATGTAATTTGATTTCTTTAGACAGTTCATTTCCTTTATTCACCTTTAAATTCTAGTTACTCTTTTTTTTTTTTTTTTTTTTTTTTTTTCAAGACAGAGTTTCTCTGTGTAGCTTTGGAGCTAGTCCTGAAACTGTAGACCAGGTTGGCCTTGAACTCACAAAGATCTGCCTCCTGCCTCTGCCTCCTGAGTGCTGGGATTAAAGGCATGGACTACCACCGTCCTGCTAAATTCTAGTTACTCTTAATCAAACTTCCTCAAAAATTCTGGTTTACTATAATATTTAGCACTATTCTTACAGTTTCTTGATTTTCTGTTCTAGACATTGTTGATTGACATCTTGTCACAGTATTTGAGGGTCTAGCTCTTTCCCACAACACCATTGCCACTGCATCCTTCAACATGTGCCCTGCCCTTGTTCCCAAATTAGCCTCATCACAATCAATAAACAGTAATTAAGGTTTACGTCATCCTGACTAGGACAACAGAATGCATTGCCAAGTCAAGTAGCGTGTGTGATAACATTTTTCTTGAAGGTTTCCCCTCTGGAGTTAGTAACTGGCTTTGCCTTTTTTTTTTTTTTTTTTTTTTTTTTTTAATTTTTATGTATCTAACATAAATGCTATCCAGATTTCTTATCATGTCCATCAAACACCCAGCAGTAATGTCTCCCACCACCCAAACATGCCATGTTGACTTGATTCTCACCGACCCAGCACCTCTTCGGATGGGTACTCAGCACACAGTTAGAAAATGCCTTTTTCCTGCTCTCCCATTAGTGCTGAAACAGCAGAAGCCTCCACGGTCCCTAAGCCTCTCTGAATTCTTTTTCTTCCTACACTTTCCCGGTCTTGAAAGTCTGAAATTTATCCTGGTGATGGTAGGGCACACCTTTAATCCAGCACTCCAGAGGCAGAAGCAGGTGGATCTCTGTTAGTTTGAAGCCAGCCTGGTCTACAGAGAAACTCTGCCTCAAAAAACCAAAGAAGAAAAGAAAGTCTGAAACTTCCCAATAGTGTATCTTAGAATGAGTCCTTTTCTTTTTTTCATTGATTACATTGAATGCTAAGGAGGTTTCCATCCTGCCTACCATGTTTTTCTTTCATTTCCTTGAAATTCCCATACACACACCCTTCTTGGTAAAGGGTGCATGTCTATTTTATTCTCCAAATATATTGCCCTTTCATCTGATTCTGAATCCAGCACTCACTTATAAAGCCTAGAGTGCTGGCACACCCGCAGCCTCGGGGCACAGGGGAGGCAGGCAGATCCAGGGGTTCACTGGCCATCTATTTTAGCCAAAATGGCAAGTTCCTGCTTCACGACGAGACCCTGTCTCAAAGCAGCGGGGCAGAGAGCGGTAGAGGAAAGACGCCCAGCTTGACCTGACTTCTGATTCCATATGCATGTACACAGGTGAACACACCTACACACAGATATAATGTGCACATATGCATGCACACACACAAAGTAGTCTACCTGATCCACCTTCAGCTCTTATGTCTCGGTATAAGCTCCTACCGAAATCCGAGAGCCCTTGGGCTTTTCATATCAGTAGTGTATGGATGGCTTCTAGAAACCAAGAATGTCTACACTTTCCTACTTTGATATTTAACTCAGTGTTTTGTAGTTAACCTTTAACTCAGTTCCTTTCCTCCTAATCCAGGTGATGACCTCACCCACTACTGACCTTATCTTCACTGTCTTTCCTATCTCCCCATACTTCCAAAATGTATCTCCACCAATACAGTAGCCATTGAGAACTCTCTTGAGCTCCAGACCTACATTCCTAGTACACTGCTATGTGTTCCCATTTCCAATGTAGTAAAATACAGAATGCATTGTTCCTCTTCTCCATATTCTTCATTCTTCCACCCACACACTAGTCCAATGCTGCTTAACTTCCAGGATCAAAGGAGATGGAGTGCACTTCAGGATGGAAAACCATACTCTTCATTCTCTAGTTTCTCTGCCATGGAATGAATCATCGTGTCTCTAGTCACCCGACTCAGAAACTTCAATTATTGGGGACCAGTGAGAAAGAGAGAGAAGGGGGTGCTGAGTGAGCAAAGGCAGCAGCTGCCAAGCCTGACAACCTAAGTTCCATCCTTGGGACACCCGTGACTCCTACAAGTTGTCCTCTGAACAATGTGTACTAGTCTCAGATTCACTACCTAGTTGAGGGTGACTTTGGAATTCTGGTCCACCTGCTTCCACTAACAAGTGCTGGGATTAAAGGCTTGTGCAGCTATTCCTAGTTGACTCGGTGCTGGGGACTGAACTCGGGGTTGCCTTTCATGACATCCCTCCATTCTTTCTCAGACCTCCCTCTACCACCACACCCTTCAAGTTCTCAACTCAGTCCACCAAAACCCGACTGCAAGTCACCCCAGTAAACCTCTTTTCTCATCCCCACAGCTTCCCCCGCTTCTCTCCTTTAAAAAGCTGAGCAAGTTTACAAATTGTTTTACACACACACACACACACACACACACACACACACACACGTATTTTATTTTTACTAGGAAACTGGTATCATAGAGATAGATGCTCAAAACTACTTTTCAAACCATCTGTTACAAAATAACTAGAATCTTGTGAAAATAAATACATGAAATCACATGAACATGTACCTCGCCCATTCTGGCTGGTAAGATGGCTCAGCAAGTAAGGGTGCTTACAGCTAAGACTGATAACCTGAGTTCAATCCCTGGGTCCCGTGAGGTAGAAGGAAGAAAACTGATTTCTGAAAGTTGTCCTCTGACCTTCACTGGTGACACAATGCCAGTTTTTACACGTCTTTTTAGCAGTGTGACCTTAAGTATGCTATGTCAATCTCAGTTACTTTACCTGAAAAAATGTGATGATATCTTGAATTATTTTAAAAATAGATCTCATAAGACCTAACTTGAATTACTGTGAGAGTTAAATTGAACTCCAACGGTTTTGGAGAAGAAGCCAGGTCTGGTAGTGCAGTCTCCCAGCTGCTTAGGAGACTAAAACAGACTAACTGCAAGTTCCAGGCTGTGCTACAGACCTTGTGGGTAACATTGGGAGATCCAGTCTCAAGATAAAAACTAAAAGGAGAGTTGGG